CCTAAGCCCTCGTTCCCCATATTACGGGGAATCCATGCATTCTTGTTTGATCAAACAAGGTTATGAATCATTTGCTTCCATTGGGAATTCCGTTGTGGACTTTTACATGAAATCTGGAGACTTGAAATCGGCATTGGCTTCGATTGATCGCATGCAAAACAGAGATTCCGTTTCATGGAATATCATTATTTACAGCCCCCTGAATCTGGTGATACAGAAGAAGCTCTACGGTGGTTTAATAAAGCTAGGGTAGCTAGCTTTGCACCGAATGCTTCGATATTGGTTCTTTTAATTCAGGCATGCCGCAATGTTGGAGCTTACCACGAAGGACTAGAAATTCATGGGTTTGTAATTAGGAGTGGATTATCCGCCATTGGTTCCATCCAAAACTCGCTGCTAAGCATGTATGGGTATGTTAACAAGGGGAGTGCACGGATACTGTTCGATGAAATGTCTGACAAAGATGTGATCTCTTGGAGTGTAATGATCGAGGGTTATTTGCAAACCGAGGAAGCGGATTTTGCCTTGAAGTTGTTTCGGAAAATGGTGTCAGAGGATGGGATCCAACCCGATGGTATAACCGCGCCAAGTGTCCTAAAGGCCTGCCGCAGATTGAAAGACATTGATATGGGAAAGTTGGTCCGTGTAGTAGTGATCGAAAGAGGAGATTATGGTGACTCGTTTATAGGGAACTCCTTGGTTGACATGTATTCAAAGTGTAATGCTGTTGCTTCTGCATTTCAAGTTTATAAGGAGATGTCTCGAAAGAACAATGTTTCTTGGAATTCTATGTTATCTGGATTTGTGCTCAATGAGAAATACTCAGAAGCTTTGTCGTTGTTTAATTTGATGGGGGAGAAAGGCATCGAGGTAGATGAAGTGACTATAGTGAATTTTCTTCATATATGCAAACGTTTTGTGTTTGAATCTCTGTGCAAGTCGGTTCACTGTCTAATAATCCGACAGGGGTACAAACTGAATGATTTGGTTATAAATTCTTTAATTGATGCTTATGCTAAGTGTAATCTTGTTGATCTTGCGTGGAAACTTTTTGATGATTTGAAGGGCAGGGATGTGGTGGCATGGAGCACGATGATAGCCGGGTTCACACACTGTGGCAACCCTGACGAGGCTGTTAGGGTCTTCTGTGAGATGAGCCAAACGCAGGAGAAACTCACTGTCACAACAATTCTGAACCTTCTTGAAGGATGTTCGATTTAAGCCGAACTGGGAAGGTCAAAATGGGCCCATGGTGTTGCAATCAGAAGAGACATGGCTGCCGATGTTGCTGTTGCAACTGCCATTGTTGATATGTACGCAAAATGTGGTATCATTGATACATCGAGAAGGGTCTACAATCAAATGAAACAGAAAAATGTGGTGTCATGGAGTGCCATGGTAGCAGCATACGGTATGAATGGTCTTCCCAGAGAGGCATTGGAGTTGCTCCCGGAAATGAAATCGCAGGGTCTGAAACCTAATCCCATGACTGCTCTCTCAGCACTATCTGCATGTAGCCATGGAGGGTTAATCAAGGAAGGTTTTGCTTTTCTTAAATCAATGGTCCATGAATATGGGATTGTACCAGAGTCGGAACACTATTCCTGTGTGATATACATTTTATGTCGGGCAGGAAAGGTGGACATTGCAATGGAATTGATCAAACAGATCCCTGGTGGTATCAAGGTTGGTGCAAGTGCTTGGGGAGCACTTTTAAGTACCTGCTGCAGCCGTGGAAACAGTGAGCTTGGTGTAGGAGCACTCTCCCATATTCTCAAGCTGGAGCCGATGAACTCATCGGGTATTTGCTGGGATAAAAAATGTATGCAGCAGAAGGTTCATGGGACGATGTGAAGACAATGAGGCGGCTGGCGAAAGAGAGATGGGTGAGGTTCTTTTCTAGATACAGTTTGATTCATGTGGGAAACAGAGCTTGTAGATTTGTTGCAGGGGACTGCTGCAACTCTCGGGCTCGAGTGATCAACATCACGGTTGAGTGGTTGCATAGTTCAATGACCATTGACGAAAGGATTCAATTCGAATGCTGAATTATATTTTGAAACTCAACACTATCGTATAATCGCTCTATTATGGTGAATGAACTCGTAAGTCCAAATGTATTGTAGTGCTAATTCAACATCGAACAGAGTGACTTCCGCTGGATAGATGAGCCTAAAGGTCCAAACTCAAGATCAAGAGTACCGTACACAAGATGGATGAACCTGAATGTCCAAACACATGCCAAACGGATCCAGTTAAGGTGGACGATCTTGAAGGAGCAAGATGTAACTGCTAGATTTTAGGCATGACATTGTACCATACGAAAGTCTTTCAGAGTTCGTCGGGTCTTTCAGGCGTTTTTCAAAAGTCGATAGGTCTTATGGACATCTTCCGAGGAGCATTGTAGTATTCACCGTAGATAATAAAATATTCTATCTAACACCTTATATGAGATTTTTTTCTCTCGAAACATTATTCCACCAAATTTACTATAATATGATAATAAATAAAAGGAAAAAACTACTTCAACACCGTTAAACTTTGCTTGCTGACTCGTTTATACCATCAAACTTTCAATTTTGCCAATTATAGTATTGAACTTTAGTTTTACATTTAATTATTTCATTCTGTTATTAAGTCACTTACAAAACGACATTACTAACGGTAGATGATGTGGTATGCCACACCAAAAGGACATTATTTTGGTGTGGTTATTTTGATGCCTAAAATGATACCATTTTAGAAATTGAATTTTAGGGACGTATCAATTTTGCTACTGAATTTTTAAACAATTTACTTTTTTGACATTACACTTTTCGATCGTATTCGACATCCAATCACTTCTCGTGATTGATCGCCTTTTGCAACAAAATCAATACCAAAATGCATTTCAGTACCCATTCTTCTTATATGATTAGTTTTTCACAAAACACACTCAAAATCAACGGAAAAAAACAAAAAAAAAATATTACTTTTAGATGTTTGTAGACTTTCTTAGATTTATGAGTTTTAAGTGTTTGTTCGTAAGAACAATGGAAAACATTATTTCAAGAAGATAAAATAATATACCTCAAAATTAGTCTTATTGAACGATCTTTGAAATTGATTGGAGTATTAACACATTGAAGTTTTAAATGAATTTTCATCGCTTTTGAGTGTATTTCGTGGAAAGTCAATCCTAGGAGAAGAAATAAGAGTGAGATACGAATGTTTTGGTACTGATCTTGCAGTGAAATATGATCGATGATGGGCGATGCTTGGCTACCAACGTCAGTCGAAAGGTACAATACTTAAAAAAAGTTTAAAATTTAGTGGTAATATCGATAGACCCTTAAATTTTTGTATTTAAAATGATATCGCTTTAAGTATTAGAATAGTCATACCAAAAAAATATTGTTTTTCCTAAATAGTAGGCTTAATATAAAAATAAGTACTCAAATTATGCCTCTAAAAACGTTTTAGTGCCAGAACAATTTTTCGCTAAAAGTATGTGCCTAAAATATTACACTTTTAGGTGCTCACCGTTAAAAATCACCGTTAAGTGACACGTGTCACGTTTTGGTAATTTTAAGAATTTATTTAAAAAATAAAAAATAATTTTTATTAAAAAAATATATATTATTTTAAAAAATATTTTTCCCAAAAAAAACCCCAACCACCCGTCTCTAGGGGTGTTCAAATAACGGAACTAATTCGGTTAACCGACCGAACCGAATTAGTTCGATTAATTCGGTTCGGTTACCGAATTAGTTCGGTCGGTTAACGGTTAAGAAAATTTTTAGAATTCGGTTAAAGGTTAATTCGGTTAATTAACCGAAATTAAATTTTAAATATTAAATATATTATATATAACATATGAGCTTAACCCAAACCATTTAAAACCCAATTAATAATTTAAGATCTAATAACTTTTAAACCTAAATTAATATTAATTAATTAAAAATATTATATAAAATTTTTATTTTATAATTATATATTATTTAAATTAATTGTAAACTATTTTTTAATTAAAAAATATTAAATATATTATATATAACATATGGGCTAAACCCAAACCATTTAAAACCCAATTAATAATTTAAGATCCAATAACTTTTAAACCTAAATCAATATTATTAATTAAAAAATTTATCTGAAATTTTTATTTTATAATTATATATTATTTAAATTAATTATAAACTTTTTTTTGAATTAAAAAACATTTAATTTTTATATAAATTAGAAAAAAATTTAAAAATTTTGGTTAATTCGAAAATTAACCAAAATTTATTCGGTTCGATTAATATTTTTGAAAAAAAAAATCGGTTCCATTAATGGTTAAAGAAAAAAAAATCGGTTAATTCGATTCAATTCGATTTTAACCGAATGAACAGCCCTACCCGTCTCCCCTTTCTCCTTTTTCCTTCCCCCTTCTTTCTTCCCAGCACCATCATTACTGATAGCTAGTGGCGTACACCGCCAACTCCAACATATTCGCTAGCATCTCATTACCCCAACCCTGACCAACAATTACCCAAGTCGACAGTCGGTCGTCATAAAACAGTAAAAAAATTATTTGTTGTCCCTCACCGTCGAATCCTTATTCAACCAGTCATGACCGTCATCGCTTCTATCAGTGAGAGCGTCGTCTCACGCCGAGAAAAAATCAACCGTCCCCTCATCAAGTAGCATCGTCGTTTTCCATGGAGGAAGTTTCAAAGTTTCGGTGAAAACCCAACCACGATTATTTTGTAACTTTTGAAGAATTTGGGGATTTTTATAAATAAATTAAGTTTTTAAATTTTTTTAAATAATATTTTTAATTATAAAAAAAATTAAAAATTTAAAAATAATGTGACTAAAAATATAACTAAGAAAATGTTAAATATTTATTTTTAGAAAGAATTTTTTAGATAATAAATGTTTTTTTAAGTATAGTCTGAAAATTTATTTTTATATTAAACCTAAATAATATATAAGCTTTCCAAATATTGTTCTGGTCGGAATAACTACAACTAAAACCAAATCTCGAAAGTGCCCCAAATTCAAAACCCTAAAGCTTCACACAATCTCATCCCTACACGTTCACACGAATGGGAATGGTATCGGTGGAACCCTAAAAATACCCCTCCTCCCTGAAACCTGAACGGAACTCTAATGGAATCCCCTCCGATAAAGATATTGGATGGTCGTCCCACTTCCCGCAAGCGCCTCCTCTCGGACTGCGCCAAGCCCGAAACGCCGTTATCGTTGCATCAACCTCCCCTTAAAAAGACACGGGGACTCCCCAACTTAACCGAATGCCAAGCCTGTGGATTTCGAAGTGACAACGCCAGCAGCAAAAAACAGATACAAACGCTTTACAGCGAGTGGCGCATTGTTCTTCTCTGTCCAAAATGTTATAATCGTGTTGACTCATCTCAAATCTGCGCTTATTGTTTCAAAGAAGCCTCGGAAGATTGCTTTTCTTGTACCCTATGTAAGCGATCGCTTCACAAAACATGCTTTTTAGATTACAAATCTGTTCCGCCCTGGTCATACGCTGTTTGTGGTTCGGAATTTACTGTTTGCATTGATTGTTGGGTCCCTGAAAAGATTGCCAGCAAAAGGGGCATCTTTAGGCGTGAAAAAAATGCTAAGATTTCTTGTGTTTCGGAAGTTAAGAATGGTGGGGTGGTAAAGTTGTTAGATGTGGTGAAAGATGCTAATTGTGCAATGGGAGAGACAGTTGAGGCTGCGGTTGAGGCAAGGGGAATGGCTCTTAACATTAACAAAGCTGATGTGGCTCAACAGGTGGTTGAATTTGCAAACATTGAATTGGAAAAGTGTGATGATGCTGAATTGGCATTTCGGATGCATAAAGCCATGAATAGTTCACCTAGGATTTCGAAAAATAGAAATCTGTCTGATGATATTAGGTTAGATGCTTTGGTTGCCGGTAGTAGTAGGGCTTTCAGTTGTTTGAAACCTACGGAGATAGTTTATGCCCGACGTAGAAAGAAACCAAATAAGATGGAACCAAGGGATACAGTTTATGCTAGCTATAGAAAGAAACCAGTGCAGATAGTTTATGCCCGGCGTAGAAAGAACCCAGTGCAGATTGTTTATGCTCGGCGTAGAAAGAAAGCATGTGAGATAGCTGATGAACAGTGTATAATAAAACATAATGAGATGGTTTATGTGCAACCTGGAAAGAAACAATATAAGTTAGTTTATAAACGGCGTAGTAAGCAAAGTGACAGCAAGGAAAAATCTGATGTTGAAATAGGACCGAAGGAGAGAGAAGATGGATGCTCTAATTTTTTGTCAAAAAGTGGGGTTGATACGAAAATGAACTCTGAGTCTAAAGCTTATAATTACGAAGATGACGCTATTGTCTTTGATAATATGCAGTCTGATGGGAAGCTTGTTCAATATTTGTTAACATACAGCAGGAAGAAATCAAAGTGGAAGGGAACTCCAGTTGACAAAACTGAGTTCTTTTATGATGGATATAACCGTGAAAGTCAGGCTTCATCTTCTCAACTGCCATAGTCTTTAGATCTCGTAATACACTCCAATGTTCTGCTTTTCCTCATCGAGCCAGAGCTGCAAGTTATTCATGTCAAGATACCCCTAGACTGACAAGGTAATAAAATGTTTAGCCTAGCTGTTCTTTTATTAATTAATTTCTTTCTTTTTTGTTGTTGTTGTTGATTGTCAAATATTCTCACATCTCAGTTGCAATGGAAATTTGCATAGCTGTCTTCCCTGTCTTCTGATTTTACTTTTTCATTACTCATCACAGCTTTATTTGCCTGTTGATGGATTGTGGATTATTTGTCTGGGTCTTGGGGATGCTTTAGTATTCCTAACACTGCTTGTTGCCCTTGATAATAGTTGATTATCATTATTTGCACTAGTGGAGGAAAAGGTGCTGTTTACGTGGGTCAGTTAGCTTTTGGAGTCTTGTGGTTGCTATTTAAAACGCCTTCACATGTTGGATGGGGACTAATCTTTGCATCTCCTTCCTGTGTTTTGGAGTTGTATTTTCTGATAAATCTTGTTAGTTTTGTTCATCTGGCAGTTTCTAGAAAAGGGGGAAGGAAATAAATCTTCAAAATTGATGGAAAATGAAAGTGGAGATCCTCATTCTAACCATGGGTTTGTAGAATGAAATGACGTGCATCATGAGATTTAACATCTAAGTCCTCTACGTCTAAAATAAGTGTTTGTGCTAAGTTTTGGAGTTTACATAATTAAATGATTACTGTGTAATTTTGAGTAAAGTCGGGTTTTAATCTTAGAATATTTTAATTTTCTTAATACATTGAGCAAAGTTCTCATTTTTATAATTTTATGGTGAAAAGATTCTCTTATACTTTGTGTTGTATTCTATGGAATTAGTTTATTGGTTTCTTTGTGCAGTAATACTACCAATGATGATCCTTGGTTAATTGACAAAAGCTAAACTGGATCAAATCCTTGCATAGTTATAGCCATTTGAAGGTGATTTGCTTGTTGCTAAAAGCACTCGATGTGATTCTGACATGGACTATTGTCCCCTGAAGAGTGAAGACTATGTAATCCTTGCAAAATGCTCAAAGGTATGTTTTCTTTTTGAACACTAATTAAAGAGCTTAAATGTGAGGCGTGCCACTTTTTAATTCTAATGGCTATCGAAAATTTGTAATTTTGTAGTTGTTAACCGGTGCTTGATAAGAGTCCAATTTTTTGCAAGGAAAAGGAGCATGATCTTGGCCGACAATCAGGAAAGCAAGGTGTTGAAAGTGCTGATATCAAGCAAAAAATTTGGACTATATCTTGAAGAGCCTTGGTGGTTTCTGGTTAGGCAAGATCATGAATTGGTAATGGCCAATTTTCAGTTCATCTTGACTAAAATTTTTTGAGGTCAGATTTTGATGTTATACAATTATTCACATTTATATTAGATGAAGCTTCTTGGAAACCCACTATAGAAGCCTTTGTCCCATTGGATGTGCTTAGAGTAATCAGGGTTTGTTTTGTCATGGAACTAATTTCAAGTGATTTCTTTTTCCAAATTTCTGTTTCACAACTCCATGATAAAGAGCTTGCCTGAGATCAGATAAAAAGCTTGCATTTGGAATCTTAGTTTTAAAAGGCACAAAGCGCACCAAGGAGCAAAAATCCTTGGAGCCTAGGTGCAAGGTCGCACGCCTTTCGTAGGCGGGGCACATTTTTTTTAATACCAAAATCCTATAAATCAATTGTAAAACATATTTTGTTCTTATTTGTAAGTTCTGATTTTCTATCCTTTCTTGGCGGATCTAAAGAGTTTGATGATCCGTTGGAAACTAACCCTGAATCCATTTTTCAACAAACTAAAAGTTAAAATAATGTAAACAAAATTTAATAAATGTAGATAAAATTTTAATAAATAAAAATAAATCATTGTAAAAGAATGGAATTGAGAAAATATGATGGCATGAATACTATCTACTGCAAATGTATTGCATAATTTGGGATAATGTATAAAAAAAAATTGAAAAGGGAAAAGCCATTCTAGTATTTATTGAACTTTAAAAATGAAAACAATTACATGTTGTTCATGTGCAACGCACTAACGGGCAGCAATCAAAGCTTCAATAAAGAGTGTAGGGAACCAAAGCAAAAAGAAATCAAAGCTTCAATAAAGAGTAGTGTAGGGAACCAAAGCAAAAAGAAAGAAATAATCCCAAAACAGCCAAAGAGATTAACAATATTAGGATAAAAACAAAGAAATAAGCAAAACCAAGGCCAGAGAATAGCTAACCTTTCTGCTTCCTTGCTCAAAAATTAGAGAAGACCCGATAGATTTTGAACAGAAATGAAGAAGCAGAGAAGAGATGGAAAAGAGAGACGTCCCCAAAACACAGACACAAGAAGCGCAGCACCTACGCTCACGTAAAAAAGCAGGCACCTGCTGTTCTGCACTGCGCCTGTGCCATCAGAGGCGATTTTTTCGGCGTCCACCTGCGCCCGACGCCTTAGGCGCTTTTTTGAAAACTGCGTTTGGAATATTTTCTTTGAATACCAATGAATTGATTTTAGCATGTCAAAAGCAATAGATTTTCCTTTTCACTTGAATAGCAGATAATGCTTTGTTTTAGAATAAATGGAAAGCCTCTGGTTATGTCAACACTTAATATTTTCACTTAGCATTGGCAGTGATGCATGTCTCACATTCCAAGATGCATGTTAAACTGGTAGTTTTGCTTTTTGTACATTTTTCTATTGACATAGTCAGATATTCTTTTTCTCTGTTAGTTTGAACTTGTTTGAATTATTAAGAAAACTCTGCCATAATTTCACATTGAAAGATGATAACGAGTCTTTCAAGTTTCAACGTATTTACGACATTGCTATAGGTATTATTAATCTTCTTAGGATGGAAAATAAGAAAAGAACAAATGAATTGTGAATGTGAAGTTTTATTTGGTGTCATTCACAGTTTGGCATTTTGACAAAGAAGGGGACATATACTGTAAGGAGTTATACGAGTGCATTTATTTATTTTCTATGTACATGATTGCCATTTATTAATTGAAATAAACTCGAACACGGTCCATTTATGTTCACGAATTATGTCATTTATGATATTTTTCAAAACCATTTAAAGCTTAATTTGATAAATAGTTCACCTCTCATTCTAATTTCTTTTATTGTTATTGAGTTAATTTGCTTAGATTTGTTTGTTTATTATAAGTGAAGCTGGTTAACATGTTTGATTATATAACCATGGACGCGTTTGTTTCTTATAAGAATTAGTTTAGAACAAATGAATTTGAAAAGTATCTCTTTAACCAAAATCTAATTTCCATATTCTACCCACCACCAAAGAAATTTGCGTTATGGTTAGTTTGAAAAGGATCTCTTTTGCTTCCTCTTTCGATTACTTTCTCTATTAATCACATCTCTCGAATTTTCTTTTTATCAGATATCACAATTTCTCATTATCACAAATATCTCCTTGTTCATAAGGTGATTCTTTTCTAACATGTTGTTCATCATCGGGAGAAAAATTAAATTGAAGCATAAAATCACACTTATTTCCTTCTTCGGGTAAAACTGAGAATTGAGAAAGATCAAAAGGACCATGTTCAACAGTGGGATCTTTGGTGACCTTGTTCATCCAATATGAGCATTTGTTGATAATTTTTTTTGAGATCTTTCAAAAGATTTTTCTCCTCTTGTAGACAACTCTATAATTTACACTATGCTTTGTGTAACCACCATTTTTCATACCCCAAATCCCATAACCCCCAAACCTCAAAGATTCAAGCCCAACAAACTTTAACTAAACCCCAAACAACCCGAGCCCAGATAAAACTCAAACCCGCCGACCAGAGTACAGGCCCAAACTCGGTACAGAATCCTAACCTAACTATACCCTAGGGATATCATGCCTTCAGCCATCACCACCATTTCCCAAGCGCGCTGCAGAGATATCAACAAAACCCCATAATATCCGGGGCATTAAAACTCACAATCATTACAAACAACAACCTAGTATTAGATTAGGTTTTTATTTTGCACTAAATAATATGAATATATAACTGATGAAAAAGAAGATGTACACAGAGAGCATTTATCGGAGAAATCAAACAAGAAAGAAAAACTACAAGTTCTTTCCATCTATCAAACTTTTAAAGGTATTCAAATACTTGTTTCATTGATTGTTCTATGCTATTTCGAAAAAAAAACAAAAATAAATTAGAAGTAGAGAAAGGATTACCTTGCGTTTATTGTGTTTCTTGAGGAAAATAGGGTTGTCAGAGAGGGGTTAAGAGTCGGGTTAGTAGTTTAGGAAGCAGTACAGCCATGTGTGGCAGCTTATTTCGGGGTTTTAGACCTTTCGGCCAGGGCATGAGAAGGGTTCGACTGGGTTTTCTTAGGGTCTGTAGACGATGGGTTTCGAGACGTTGGTGGGTAGTTGAGAGAATGGCCACCAAATCGGTGGCCGACGATGTTGTTCGACGGGAGCTTGAGGGTGAGAAGGTTGTTGTGGGGTTGAGTGAAGAAGAAAAGGAGAAGGAGTTAGGGATTAGAAACCATCGGGCGAAATGAAATCTAGAAAGGGGGAAGGAATTGATATTTAAGGTTTTTTGGGTAAACCACGTTAAGATCCCTAGACCTTTAGTGTGTTTTGCTTTCTGGTCACTAGTTTAGGGTTAAATCACCATTTTGGTCCTTTCTTTTAAGGTGATTCACGTTTTAGTAACTTTTTAGGGTTAATCGAGCTTCAGGTCCTCCTAGTTTTAGCGTGTTTTATGATTTGGTCCCTAGTTTCTGCTTATGTTTTATGATTTGCGAATTGGATTCATGATTTTACATTGTTTTAACTTAGTCCTCTGATTGGATGTATTATTTTTGTTTGAAATTAGCTACTGTTATTTGTGATCTTCCATTTTAGTCCTATATTTATGGTTTATTTACTATTCTAGTGCTTCTGTTTTAGTTTTATTCTTGTTTCATGCTATAATATTTGTTTTATTAATATTGTTTATTTGTACCATTAAAGTATGTTTTATGTTCTAGGTATTTATTTTACTTGTATTATTATACATTATTTTATTTACATAATACTGTAGGTAGAGCATGGTGTAAATATTGTTTTTTTTTTCATTTTTATTATATTTTAGAATAAATATTGTGTTATATGTTTAATATAATATTTAGAAAATATGTATATATTTATAAAGTAAAATAAAGTAAAAAATAACCTTAATTTTTTTTCTTATCCATATGTTTATATATATTTTTTTCTCTAAGTGCTTCAATGTATCATATTTTATTTTGTTTAAAAGCCTCATTAGCATAACTTAATCGATTACATAATTAGATTAAGGGTAATATTTATGTATTTTAAAATATTAAGAAGGGACAGTCTTAAGACAACTAGATGTCATTTTTTCGATATTTTAAAATAAATAAATATCCCACTAGAAAAACCTAAAAAAATTTATTGCATTTAAAATTAATTAATTTTGACAAGAAAGGGAATTATTCACTATTTTAAACTTATTGAGACAATTCGTCTAATTTTATTAGGGATTTAGTCTCGGTATTTTTAAATAATTGAATATCCCTTATCTCTTCTAATAATAATAATTGGGATTAATGGGTATAATTTCTTTCTTTGGTAGAATAAAAATTATTTTAATATTTGATTCTTAGGAAAAAATATTATATTTCTTTCTTTCAGTTGGAAAGAAAAATATTCGTCCTAAAGTATTTTAGGGAGTATTTTCTCTTCAATTGGAAATATAAGAATATTATATATTTTTCCTTAGAATTTTTGTTTTATAATATTGTATGGTTGAATTCGGAATAACGAAATCGTAATTTAAATATGTAATCGAATTCTTAGATTTCTACTATTTAGAGACAATATATAATCGATAGGTACCAATTTTGCGCGTTGTGGGGTGTTTATCATTCCCCACACGTAATCGACCTCGAACCCTTTTTATTACTAAAAAATGAATTTCTGGTTACACGTGAATCGGTAAATCTTTTAAATGACATTTTCTTAAAAACTATTTTAAAAGGCATTTTTAGGTATTCGACCTACCTAACTCAAAAGTTCGATGGCGACTCCGAAACATTTCTTTTATAAAATTGGGTTTTCACAAAAAAAGTCGAGACTCGTCGTATCACCAAAAATCAGTTACGACAGCTTGGCGACTCCGCTGGGGAATTAGAGGGTCAAGCCATAAATCGATTATATATTGTTTCTATAGTTAGAAATTGAGAAGTCAGTTGTATTTAATTTACGATTCCTTTGATTCCTTTCAATCGTTATTTAATTTTATATTTTGTATACTAATGTGTGCATTTGATTGATTTTCAGATATTAAAGTCTTAGATTCGCTTTAGTTCATTTTTGTGTGGTTGTTTGTCAAAGGTTTGATAATTTCTCCTCACACACGACACTTGCATTGCATAACATAGGCTCTATACCCGAGCTCTTCCTTTTAAGTGGGAGTGAAAGCGATATTTTCGTGAGAATTTATTCTTCGTGTTAGACCTAGCAATTAGCTTCCGGGGTTCATATGTCCTATGTCTTCGTGAGGATTTATTCTCCGTGTCAGGCATAGGGAAATGTGCCCCCTCGAATTGAACTCGATCTTCTTAAGCCTATAATGGGTGAGGATTGAGGGTCTGACCTGCCCAAGGGGGCACCGACAAGGATAATTCGAGTACCTTTACTCTTAGAACTGAAACTCTGCATATAATAAACCGTAGAAACCCACCCGATCTAAGACCAGGTTGAAACTCTGTCCATAGGTTCCCAAATAAGTGTACACAAAGGAGAAATGAACTCTAACCTTTGTCTTTTAATATATTATTTTTTTATTTTTATAAATGCATGTGAATTAGAAAATTATGCGGTTTATGGTTTATCGTATTATTTAAAGTATATGGGTTAGAAAGCATGTTTGGGTAGGTTGCTATTTAATAAAAAACATGTTTGGGTAGCTATCATGATAGGGTAGATGTTTTCCAAAATTTTATTAAATCATTACCTGTACTAACTCGTTTCCTTTTTTATTATTTTTCTTTTATTTTTGCTATTTGCTTTGCATCATTCAAGATTGAGGGTGTTGATCTTTAGTTAATCATCAAATTGGAAAGCTTTCAGTAATGGACGAAAAGTATTTGAGTCAAATTATTCAAAACTCTGAGGTACAACAGTGGTCTGAAGCACTGTAAAGACAGGAAGGGGACAGTTTGCGAGCCGATCATGTGTCAGATTTATTGGTTTATGCTCCTGTTTCTCTTAAAAGAAATGACATCCAAGACTTACGAGACATTTGGGAAAAATGGGAATCGAGCAAGAAACTGCAGTTTTACCAGTGTTATGGGGACATTTCCTATCTGTTGTATGTTGACATAGAGGATGAGCTCCTCTGAGCCTTGATTCAATTTTGGAATCCAGGATACAACAGTTTTACTTTCAATCAAGAAGATATGGTTCTTACCATCGAATAATATATTGCTTTGTTGCACATAGAAGAGGATCAAGAGAATAAGATTTATTCCAAGTCTATCAAAACTCAACCCTTCAGAATCAAATTAGAAAAAATTGCAGGAGTGCACAAGGAATGGGTGGTTGCTCATACCAAACAAAAAGGCAAAAGCGAAGGTATTTCTTGGATTTCTATTAAAGAAATCATTCAAAGTCATCCTGACGAGAAGATACGATTTGACCTCTTTGCACTGGGTACTTATGGCTTAGTCATCTTCCCAAAGGCCTTGGGATATATTGAGGCTACAGTTGTGGATTTATTTGAACAGTTACCAAACAAGATCAACACTGCTCCTGTGATTTTAGCAGAGACCTTCCGATCCTTGAATGTTTGTCAAAGACTTGGAGGTGGTCGATTTTCAGGATGTGCACAACTACTATATGTCTAGATACGTAGCCATTTTTAGAAAATTGAAAAGATTTCATATCATCGGTTTAGTACCAACTACTCCCCTTTGAGAGAATTCTTGAGCAAGATTAGCCAAAAGGAATCAGTAAAGACATGTGGATAGATGCCTTTAGGAATATACGAGACAAAGACATCGTTTGGCGTGCTCCTTGGAAGATATAAAGTGAGCTCCTCTATAAATGTGGTTCTTATAATTGGGTGATGCTGCTCGGTTTATGGGGATGAATTGGGTACACACCACTTTTGGTTATGAGGCAATATGATGGCCGTCAATTTGTCCCAGTCACTGCTGGATTGCACTCATCTGAGTTCGTGTTTCATGGAAACAATTATAAGAAAAAACATCCTTGAGGCAGTTAGAGCATAGAAGAAGACTTTCTGTACTAGAGCTGATGCAGCCAAGGTGATGTTGATGCCATATTATGAGGAGTGGAGGTCTGTTAGAAAGAATGCAAATATTCTTCTACCTGACCCAAATGAGGATATCCCTATGGAGGAAAGAATTCGGATAGTCCCATCAAAGGTAGAGATCTTGAGAGCGGAGTTCGAAGTCGAGAAAGAAGGTTGGTCGAAAGAACTGGAAGAGATGCGACAAGACAAATATATGTTGAGTATCAATGCTGACTTTCATGCTGCACAATTTACAATGCTAAAAGTGAGAAAAGAAAAAGTAGAATCAGATTTAAAAGATCTGAAGAAGGATTACTACGAGCTGTAAAAATCTAGGTCCACAGTTGGGTCAAGCAGAGTGTCAGCACAATTAACCAAAGAGTTAAACAAAGAGAAACATTGAGTCAAAAATTTGAAGGCAAGAAACAATCGTCTACTGAAGAGCTTAGAGAAAGACAAGCAAAAAAATAGAAGAACTTGAGCTTGATAAAAGAAAGCGGATCATAAAATATAAAGTTGAGAGCCACGAAGCTATGGAAGAATTAAAAAGGGAGAAAGATCGTGTCAAAGAACTGGAAGACGAAAAGAATAGCATTCTCAAGTGTTTCAAGGCTGAGAAGACCATCATGTTCAGAGGATTTGAAGCCAAAATGAATAACATACTTGCCGAACTTGATGTTAGAGGACAAAGAATCGAAGAATTTGATACTGAAAGGAAGAGATGGGAATTGGAAAAGAAACACTTCAATGTTACGCTTGAAGCAAGGCAAGAGAAAACCAACAGCTGGATAAAAAGGTGTGGAGACAAAAATTCAGAAGTGCAGAGTCTCAATCAAAGGATGCAGGAAACACAGACAAGACTTGAAGAGGATTTGGCTCAGTGTTGGGCTAAAACACCGAATTAAGTGATTACACCCTACAACTCGAAGAATCCTTGTTCCGAGAAAATGTTCTCCGGGGACCAAGTGATCTTCAGGAAAGTCTTGAAGAGAATACCTTACTGAGAAAGCAAATTCAACGTCTGGAAAGTGCACTACAGAGTTGTCAAGTACGAATTAATGAGTTAGAGCGAAATCTTCAAGGAACTATTGAACAATGCCAAAAATCAAATGATTTCTATGAAGAACAGAATGCAGCTAGAAGCAACATGGTAGTCGAGGCCATAGTACAGATGAGTAAAGTTGCCAAATACATTGAAGAACTAGCTGTCGAAGCAAAGGTCATCGAGCACCATATCAATCCAGCTTCTAAGTGTGGGAAGAAGATGTCGTGGTTGATTAGTGAAATTACGGAGCTTAATAGAAGAGCTAGGTCGTATCTATGAACTATTATGTAATGAAACTTTTTGTTTCAATGGAAGTTGAACTAAGCAGTATCTGTAGAAATGAACTATTATATAATGAAAACTTTTTGTTATAATAGAAGTTATTCTATGACAATTAACTTTTTGGGATCAATACCTCTTGCATACATTCATTCTTCATTGTATTAATTTATGTATGAATTTTAAATATCTTGCATTAAGACATGCATTCATTAATTAAAAACACCAAAATAATACGATAAGGTTTCCAATCACAGTTACTTTGGCCCCTGTTAGCAACAAAGAAACACAATATCATTACTATACCAGAAAAGTGAGTAAGAAGATGGACGACAAATTAAACCATCTCGAGCAAGAGCAGAAAGGCATATATGCAGAAATGAGAAGTAAATTTGAAAAGATTGAGGCCGACATTGCCAGTTCACAACTGGATATGTTGCAAAAAATAGAGGACCTATTCAAGAAGCATGCTGAAAAGAGTCGTGCTGAAAATCCCGCCTCCTCTAACCAAGATTCCATACCCCCTCCAGGGATCACAACAGAATCTGGTCCTCCTCCTGGTTTCACACCTATACATATCTCTGCTCGCACTTCGGTACCTCAAGAAGCCTGATCTCATGCATATGTCAGCAATGAGAATCAACAACACCAAATGGGATCCACATTCCTAAATAGCTATCAGCCTGTTCCAGGTGTAAGGCTAGGAGAATTTAGTACTGAGCACCTAATCCCAGATCTGAATAAGTTAGCTGAAAAGGAGAAAGCCAATGAAGAAATATCTCAACAATTAAAGAATTTGGAAGAAATGGTAAAATCGATAGAAGTGATTGAACCATTCTATGGGTCCAATGCCAGAGAGCTGAGTTTGGTCCTAGACTTGATCATTACTATGAAGTTCAGGGTTCTGAATTTGAAAAATACGATGGCACCATATGATGTTCATCTTATATCACCATGTTTTGCCGAAGGATGGCCAGCCATGTGCAAGATGAAAAGTTACTTATTCACTGTTTTCAAGACAGTCTGAAAGGATCTGCCGTCAAGTGGTACAACCAATTAACTAGGGCTCACATTAAATCATGGAGAGACTTGGCAAAGGTATTCCTAGAACAGTATTGCCATGTCATAATTATGGTTTCTGATCGGTGGACTCTTTAGAATATGGAAAAGAGAAATAATGAGACTTTTTGACAATATGCCTAGAGGTAGTGTGATGTAGCCGCACAGGTCCAACCCCCTTTACTCAAAAAAGAAGCTAATGTAATTTTTGTCAACATCTTGAAGGCTCCGTACTTAGGGCATCTGCTTGGAAATGCCACCAAAAACTTTGCTGATCTATTTATCTCGGGGGAGCTCATCGAGAACGCTATAAAAAGTGGCAAGATCGAGGCAATTGATGGGTCTAGTTCGAAAAAACCAGTAAATCGGAAAAAAGAAAATGAAGTTAATAATGCAAATGTCTACAACAAGAATACTTCAAAAAGTGTCACAATAACCCAACCCAGAGCTGAAAGGAATGACACGAACATCACCAGAAATGATTCCAGGGGACCTCACAAGGAGAATGAGAGAATGTCCTTCACACCACTACCAGTACCCTACTCTGAGATATACGCCTCGTTATTAAAGGCAGATGTGGTACGCCCCTATCGTTTGACTCCTCTGCAACCGCCGTACCCTTATTGGTATGACGTAAATACACAATGTGATTACCACGATGGAATTGCTGGTCACTCTATTGAGAACTGTTTGGCCTTCAAAAAGGTTATACAAAATCTGATTAATACTGAGGGATTGCAATTTGAATCACCAAATGTATCGACACACCCATTACCAAATCATGGAGGTAAAGGTGTGAACGCAGTCCATGAGGAGAATAGGAGAAAAGCGAATATGGTTGTTGATGAAATCAAATCTCCCTTCAGTTGGGTATTCCAATAACTTTATCAGGTCGGCATGATTCAACAAGATCCTAAACCAAAGCCCAATGAATGTGGAAATTATTATGAATATCACCAAGAAGAAGGGCACAAAATTCAGCTTTACCCTAAATTTAGGGGGTTACTACAAAAGTTGATGAACAACAAGGAAATAGAATTCTTTAATAAAGACGAGGAAAAAAGAGGAGAAAATATCTACACAACAGAAAATTCCAAGCCAATGCATATAACAAACAAGCTTGTGGTCATCACTGTGAGACCATCTGTAATGAATTACGTGTCAGTGAAGCCAAAAGTTGTTATCACGGCCCCTTCACCATTTCTGTTTAAAGATACCCGCAAGGTGCCTTGGAACTACACTGCAAATGTTTCAATGATAAGGGAATCTGGTTTGATAGAGGAAACAAAAGTAGCTGAAGAAAACGATAAAACACCAGGAAGCAACTTGATGAATGAAATAGTGAGTGAAGTAGGGCACTTTACAAAAAGTGGTAGGTGCTACTCTACCGAAACATCAAAAGAAACAGACAAGGTGAAAGCAAAAGGAAAAGCAACAGTGGTACCATAAAAGTTGTTTAATGATGAGCCCCCACCAATAATCAATGAGCCGATAACTGAAGCACAAGCACAATAATTCTTGAAATTCTTAAAACATAGTGAGTATAATGCAGTAGAGAAACTGCACAAGTAACAAGCACGAATTTTGATTCTAGATCTGTTAATGAATTCAGAAGTACATCAGAATTCTCTACTTAGAGTGCTCAATCAAACATTTGTGCCTGAGGATATAACAGTGAACAAGTTGGATCGAATTGTGGGGCATATAGCTGCGGACAATTACATAACTTTCACTGATGATAAAATTCATGATGGTGGAATGGGATCAATAAAAGCCCTCAATATCACAATTCACTGCCATGGTCATGTCTTACCAGGTTTTTTGATTGATAATGGGTCGACACACAATGTTATGCCTATGGCCACATTACGAAGATTACAGTGGATAGCTCACATATGAGGGCCTACCAAAATGTTGTTAGAGCCTTTGATGGAACCCATCGGGATGTGCTTGGAAAGATGGAGGTACCACTGTTGATTGTACCAAATGTCTATAATATTGATTTTGTGGTAATGGAAATCAACCCATCATATAATTGCTTGCTTGGGAGACCATGGATTCATTCTACAAGGGCAGTCCCTTCATCTTTGCATCAAAAATTGAAATTTGTGATAGCTGGCCAATTGATCAGTATTAGGGCAGAGGAAGAGATCATTGCTTTCGTGACAACTGAAACCCCATACATTGAGACGAATGAGAATACCCTAGAGTGTTCTTTTAGAGCCTTAGAATTTGTCAACGCTACTTTCATTGCTGAATGAAACAAGATTCCTCGCCCGCGTTTATCTGATTTCACTAAGATGACTGTGCGAGAGACTCTAGGAAAAGGAGCTAAAATTGGAAATGGTCTCGGTAGATGCTTGCAGGGGACTTTAGATCCCAAATTTGTCATGATGAAGCGTGACCACTTTGGGCTTGGGTTTGAGCCTGATTCTCAGTAAAGAAAGAAAGAATTAAAGAAGAGAGGTGAAGTAAGAAGAGCTAGACTGAAAGGAGAGGACATTTCGTGGGATCGTATCTCTTTCCCTCCCTTAAAGAGCTCATTCAAGTTTGGAGGAGTATATGATATCGAGAAACAGTTAACCAGAGCAATTGATGAAGGAGAATAGATGAAAGATAGAGACTCGATTGACGAAGCCATGGAGGGTTTGGTCATCAACATAATAATTGGGGACAACAAAGCGGAAAAATATTTGGCTGGAATCCGTCCTTGTTTCCCAGGAGAAACACTGAAAAATTGGACTGTAGAGGATCTCCCTATAGTGTTTAAGATTAATTCAGAGTAATACCCATAACTAATCCTTATACTTGTGCCTGCGAGTATTAAGGAATTATTTTGTAAGGGCAGCTACGTTAACTCTACATGCTTTCAATGAAAGACATATTTTTGTTTCTCAAATGGCCATCATTATATATATTTTTCATTCTTTATTCTTTATTCTTCATTCTTTACATTCATTTCATAAATTTTGGTCTCTCCTCCCAAATATATATTTGATTCAATCTCCCATTTGCAGGTGCCACAATATCAATAGCATGAATGTTTCTAAATTTAATCCTGAGATAAACTTTGAGCGGCCCATATGTCTGGAAGAAATCAATGAGTGTCAGGATGAGGTAGAATGTGATGTTCCTAACGAACTACTAAGATTGGTGGAAAATGAGGACAAACAAATCTTACCTCACCAGGAGGAGACTGAGATTATAAACTTGGGAACTGATGATGAAAAAAGGAGAAGTAAAGATCGGTAGTGTTCTTTCAGTTGAAATAAGAGGGGACCTAATAGATCTTCTCCGAGAATTCAAAGACATCTTTGCGCGGTCTTACCAAGATATGCTAGGGTTTAGTACAGACATAGTGGTGCACAAGCTTCCGATAAAGCCTGGGTGTAAGCCAGTTCAACAAAAGCTTAGAAGAATGAGGCCAGAAATGCAGTTAAAAATTAAAGAGGAAGTGATGAAACAAATTGATGCAGGGTTTTTCAGGCAGCACAGTATCAGGAATGGGTCGCTAACATAGTCCCCGTGCCAAAGAAAAATAGAAAAGTCCGCATGTGTGTGGATTATAGAGATCTCAACAGAGCAAGCCCAAAAGACAATTTTCCGTTGCCTCATATAGATAATCTAGTGGATAACACTGCTAGACATTTGTGGTTTTCTTTTATGGATGGCTTCTCTGCTATAACCAAATCAAAATGAACACTGAAGACATGGAAAAAACCACATTTGTGACTATGTGGGGCACATTTTGCTATAAAGTGATGCCATTTGGTTTGAAAAACGCTGGGGTAACTTACCAAAGAGCTATGGTGACTCTTTTCCATGACATGATGCACAAAGAGATTGAAGTGTATGTGGATGACATGATTGCCAAATCCAAGACTGAAGAAGAACACATTCAAAACTTGAGGAAGCTTTCCAAAGATTGAGAAAATATCAATTGAAACTCAATCCAACTAAATGTACCTTCGGGGTAATGTCAGGGAAACTCTTGGGCTTCGTGGTTAGTTAAAGATAAATTGAGATCAATCCGGACAAAGTAAGGCCATTCAAGATCTTCCACTACCTCGTACACAAAAACAAGTTCGAGGTTTTCTGGGAAGGTTAAATTATATATCTCGATTCATTTTGCAATTAACTGTGAAATGCGACCCAATTTTCAAATTGCTTCGAAAGAACAACCCCGAAGTTTAGAATGACGAGTATCAAAATACTTTGGAGATAATCAAGAAATATTTGTCCAATACTCCAATTCTGGTATCACCAGTCCCTGGTAGACCATTAATCCTTTACCTAGTGGTCTTTGAGAATTCGATGGGGTGTGTGCTGGGGCAGTATGACGAATTTGGAAGGAAAGAGAGAGCCATTTATTATCTGAGCAAAAATTTCATTGATTGCAAGATTAGATACCCGCCAATTCAAAAGTTATGTTGTGCTTTAGTATGGGCTACCCGGAGGCTCAAGCAATACACGTTGTACTATACTACTTGGTTGATATCTAAACTTGAACCATTGAAATATTTGATGGAATCATCGGCTCTAACTGGTAGATTGGCTAGGTGGAAAATGTTTTTGACATTGTGTACGTAAACCAAAAAGCAATCAAAGGGAGTGCCATAGTGGATTTCCTTGTAAGTCGTGCCTCGGATGATTATGAGTCCTTAAACTTTAATTTTCCCGAAAAAGATCTGATGTGTGTCATAATCGAGGATGAAACAATTTCAGATGATAAGTCTTGGAGGTTGTATTTTGATGGGGCATCCAATGCTTTAGGACAAGGAATTGGAGCGGTACTAATTTCCCCAGAAAATGTCTATTATCCTTTTACAAGCAGATTGGAGTTCTTTTGCACCAATAATATGGCTGAATATAAGGTTTGTGCCATGGGGTTAAGAGCAGTCATGGAAAGAAAAATTAAAGTGCTCAAAGTCTATGGAGATTTCTCACTGGTGATGTACCAATTGCGAGGAGAATGAGAGACAAATGATCCAAAATTAGTGGAATACAAAAGATTGATCCTTGAATTGGTAAAAGAATTTGAAGTTGTCACTTTTAATTATCTCCTTAGAGAAGATAATCAAATGGAAGATGCTTTGGCCACATTGGCTGCAATGTTTCAAGCAAATAGAAAAGCAATGGTATTATGACATCTTGCAATACATTAAGCATCAAACTTACCCACAACAGGCATCTGAGATTGATAAAAAGATAATAAGGAGAATAGCTGCTGGATATATCTTGGATGAGAAGTTTTGTACAGAAAGGGTAGTGATCAAGTCTTGATGAGATGTGTGGATGCCCGAGAAGCAAGAAATATACTTGAAGAGGTGCATGAAGGGATATGTGAAACACATGCAAATGGGTTTTCTATGGCCAGGAAGATTATGAGATACAAATACTATTGGGCCACTATGCATTCAGACTGTGTTGAGTACGCAAGAAGATGTCACAAATGTCAAATCTATGGAGATAAGATTCATACACCTCCGTCACCTTTGCACGTGATGACGATACCATGGTCGTTTTCTATGTGGGGGCATAGATGTCATTGGGGCAATTACACTAAAGGCTTTAAATGGTCATCGCTTCATACTTATGGCATTTGATTACTTCACTAAGTGGGTTGAGGCCGCCACGTATGCCAATATCACGAGATCTACAGTTTGCAAATTCATAAAGAAAGAGATAATTTGTCGGCATGGACTGCTAGAAATAATCATCACAGATGACACCACCAATCTAAATAACAAAATGATGGTAGAACTTTGTGCTCAGTTCAAGATAAAACATTCTAATTCAGGGACTTACTATCCAAAGATGAATGGAGCAGTGGAAGCAGCAAATAAAAATATTAAGAGGATCATTACAAAGACCACTTATAGAGATTGGCACGACAAATTACCCTTTGCTTTGTATGCATATAGAACTACAATGCGAAATTCGATAGGGGCAACACCTTTCTCTTTAGTCTATGTGATGGAGGCAGTCTTGTCAGTGGAAGTGGAAATCCCATCACTTCGAATTTTGAAGGAGGTGAAGTTGGATGAAGCTGAATGGATTCAGGCTCGGTTTGACTAGTTGAATCTTATTGAAGAAAAGATGTTAAAAGCTATTTGCCATGGTCAGATGTATCAGAAACAGATGATGAGAGGTCATGATAAGAAGGTTCATCCAAGAGAATTTCGAGAGGGTGATCTGGTGCTAGAAAAGATCCTGCCAATTCATAAAGATTTCCGAGGGAAATGAATGCCTAATTGGGAAGGTCCATATGTTGTCAATAAGCCTTCTCTGAGGGAGCGTTAATTTTGGCAAAGATGGATGGAAAAAACTGAGAAATCCGGTAAACTCAGACTCTGTCAAGAAGTACTATGCTTGAAGAAGAATGAATGAATGAATGAAAAAATGAAAATAAAAATAAATAAAAATAAAAAACATGAAAAATAAAAAAC